TAAAGTTGCCGTGTTTTGGTGTAGGCTTTCYCAGGGAGCAGTAAGCGGGCAAATGATTACAGAGCACGGGTCTTCTGTGGGACACGAGGCTGATGAATCCCCTTTGCAGCACGTTGACAGTGCTGTACCCCCTCAGCCTGGTTGGTCTCCACATGCCCAGCTCTGTCTGCCCGGAGACTCCCAGGGAGCTCAGAGGTTGTTCGGGGATTGTGCAGGGCTCTTGCCATCCATCCTGGGCTCCTAGGACATGCTGTGCCCTTGCTGGGACCTGGCTGGCAGGAACATCGGGACACTGGGAAGCTCTRTTGGGCTGATCTGGGGGGGAGCCCCACCTGCACTTGAGCTACCTACAGAAATTCTGGCAAAACTAAAACACTAAAACAAATGAAAAACAACAGACACAGTAATTTCAAGCTTCACACACATAAAATATCAGGATGGGACAGGGGATGTGTTCTGGGAAGCCCTGGAAAGTGGTTGCTCCTCATGTCTGCCTGAGCTCTACCAGCTCTGCAGGGCTGAGCAACTGAAAACTAAGGGAATGTATTTCATCACCAGCRTGAATAAATTATAACCAAATACACATAGGGAGCAGATCTGCCAAGTAAGAGAAGCCACTTTTTTATTTTCTTTTCCTTGTCACTTTTCAAATAAAAATGCCATCTAATCTAAAATGAGGCAGGCTTGCTGCAAGTCTCTGAATTCTCTTTGTGTGAGGAACTGTAGCAAAGTTTGTAGCCAGACTCATTATAAAGACACAGAAGTTAAAAATAGCTGTGCAATCAGGGAGCAGAATCCAGCTCTAAATGGGTGGCCCAGTTTGCTCTTATGCTCAAATACTGTAAACAGAAATTACCCTCTTCTTTTTAGGCTACCACTGAATGTTTTTCTCTTGCCATGGGGAAATGTTCGTGATTCCCTATCATCTGACAACGCTCAAATATTTTTATGATCTGTGTTTGTTCGCAGAAGATCGGAGTTAACAGTGCAGCAGTATCACTTTGGCTGCCAGTAGCACATAATTGAGAAGATGTAATGGAGATGTTTGTAGTGGAGGAAAGGGAAGAAGATAAAGGAGATTCCTGCAGGAAGTTTGCAAGGAGCTTTTGCTAAGCCCTTCGTTTGGGCCTCCTACAAGACTCACCACTACTCTGTTTCGCAGGCAAAATTGCTTCTGTGTGGCAGGATTGACTGGMTCTCGGTCCCTTTCTGATGGTGGTCAGGCCTGAATGCGTGGCCCCTCAGAGAAAGATGAGGCTGTAGAGGAGGAGGGAATAGGAGATAGCTAAGTCTGTTACGAATAGAAATGAATAGTTTATTTTTTTTAATGAATATTTAGATGAAAAACCAATGCAAACACTCCATATTTTCTGACTTGTTCTAATACTTGCTGGTAATTTAAATTCCAGTATAAGGAATAAAGGCAAAGTGTGTATCTGTGTATGGGGCGATATCCTTGCCCGGTGTGTCCTATCRCTGTATCTGTGCCGGCAAGAGGCTGGGAAGTTGTCAACGGGGAGGCTGCTAGAAAGCTGGGAAGCACGTGACTAATCCATAAAATCTTAAGTGTATGTAGAGCAACGTGCAAATGACACCTACTAACTGGGAACTGCAACAGATAAAAGAGGTTTGGCAGCCAAATCACCGAATGTTATTCAAAGTAAATAGTTTACACCAACTTAATAGCCTGGAAACAGCTCCACCACGTGAACAGCTTTCAGAAGTATCAACTACTTTGAAAACGTGGACCATTAAAATAATAACGATTCCAGCCTCATCCACCCACATCCTCCAGGCCCGCTCTGTTTTCCTRTCGCTGTTCAGAGGAGCATTTCTATGTGTGCTCCTCCTGCCTCACTTAGAACCCACGAGGAAGGRTTTTTGCCCTGCAGACACCCTCACCCGCGGCTTTTAAAATGCTGTGCTCCTCACCTAGCCTGCCTCTTGGATTTTACTTTATTTATTTAATGCAGAGCCCCGCTGGCCAACACTGCCTGAGGTTTGGGGCCCCTTACTAGGAGCCAGGACCATCTGAGAATGGCGCGGAGCAACTCGGGGCATTTCGCACAGCTGCCATTTTGTGATGCGGCCATTTTGGGCCACAGCCATTTCATGCAGAGGCCATTTCGTGCTGCAGCCATTTTGTTCCACAGCCATCTTGTGACTCGACGCTAATTTTTCTGCGCGCGCCTCCTCTCAGCAACTTCTGGAGGATTTTTGCCAGACGGTGCGCTAAAAGTGAGATATTGATGCGTGTTTAACGAAACTGTTGCAAGGTTAGCCAAAAAAAAAAAGGGGGGGGGGGGGCTTTTTTGGTGTCTTAGTATCTTTGAGATTAATCCTAAAGGGCCCTAAACATTTTTTTTCCCTCTCATTATACTTTGGTCTGCTGCTCTTCAGTTACTGCATTTCCCTGACTTTAGGGTTATTACCCCTAAAGTTTTCTAAAGTTTTCTCTAAAAATTTAGAGAATTTGAAATGACTTCCTTATCATTGATAAGTATCAAGGCAGGTGAGACTGTTGTAGATGAGTGGGTGTTTGCCATGTGAGGGCCTAAAATACAGATATTGTAACCATTTCAGCTATTTTAGCACAAATATCCAGAATATATTTCTAGTACTTTCCCAGTGGGGAGTGACCTGTTAAAACGAATGCCTGAGACAACGCATTGTTATTTATGTTACCCGTTGGATATTTAACCAATGTAAAACTTAAAACTTCTTTCAATTTCAGTGAAGTGAAACTCAAACTAGAGCAGTGCCTCATGGGCCCCAAGTGTTGCTTTAGGATTTTTTTTTTCCCTGACAAGAGTATCATTTTATTTTTTAATTGAGGATTTCTGGACAGTATAATTGCAACAAAACCTGCATTAAATTCCACTTGTCGCGGGTCAGTGCATATTCAAATATAGCAGATATTCCTTAGTAATCTTACTTTCATGTTGGCCACTTAAAACTTATATCTCACTTTCTTATTTTTCAGCTGCAAGATGCATCAGTGTTAAAGTGGCTTGTATGGTGTGAAGGAACAAATACTAAGATGGCACAGCTCTTGCCAGTGAGTACAATTAATTGTATTTATTTTCGATGTCCATCAATATCCATAACATCCAAATAGGTTACACATCTGTTCCAATGAATGCAGTCAATGCTTAGTTTTTCTTAGGACCACTCCCATTCTTCTGAAAAAACAGATAAGTTAAAGAACAGAAACTTCTCACACTGAAACACTGATTAAAATTATTGGGCTCCATTTATTKAAGAGACTGGCAAGTGTTAAAAAAGAAGAAAATAACTCCTATTATACCTGTCACAAGTAGGAAAACCATGGACTTGTGCAAGCCAGCTGCTGAGCTATTGGCTCAGCTTCTGTCATGGAGAGCTACAAAACCACATGGTGTCCCCGGGAACTGGATTTTGTACTTGGTCCTCTGAATTAAAACTCATGCAGAGTGACAGCTCCCTATTGGATATACATCTGAAGAGCCGCAAGAGTGCAAGTCATTCCAGCAAGGATCTGGTATAAATTACACTCGGTAAATTGGCTCCAGATAAGTCTATTTTGGACTGTGGAACATGAAGAACTTGTGTGGTGTACTAAATCCTCCCAACTTCTTGCCCAAACCCTATCGCTTTACAGGGAGCTGCTATCACAGTTATAAAAATACGGATCTAGAGGCCAGCAGATTTTGGATGGCACAATCCCACAGGATCAGATTTACACAAAAACTGCTATTAGCCTCCTAGGCATATTATTTAATAACTAGGAGACATGCAGTGGGGATCTGAGAGCTATATCAGATACTGCATTTAGCTGTAGCAAGATCTCTTTCAAATAAGTGGCAGCGCGCATCTTGATTTTGATGTATGTAGTCTGAGATAATGGAAGAGGTAGTCATGGTGTAGTTCTTTAAACCTCAAAATATGTTTTAAATAATTGATTTCCATGCATGTAAAGTAAAGATCAGTTATTCAAAACATATTTATATTTGTAAGAAATAACAGTATGACAAAATAAATACTTATAAATAATTTAAAACATATTTAGAGGCTTTTAATGTTGCAAAATATATGTGTGTAACAGCAGTAAAACCTCAATAAATATGGTTTAATAATTCTTTGTATACTTAACACATAACCATCCTATTGAGTTGGAGAAAACAKATTTAATTGTAAGTTAGGCAATCGGAGGAGTTCAGCATAAAACCAGCTAAGTTTACACCTGTTTTGTGAAAGGCAGGCACAATTATATGCACGTGGGAAGAAAGTAATGCTTATATTAAAGAATCCCTCATGATTGATCCAGTGCAGAAGCAAACTAGCACTTTCTAATCTGATTTTCTTTCATTATATCAAGTGAGGAATGTTTGGCCAGACTCTCCAGGCTGTTAAGACTGAGAAGTGCAAGGTGACTTTTAAAATGGATGGAGGTAACTAAAGGAGAATTTCTCTAAACTGGTGGAATTTCTCTTGGCATTACTGTGTATGCCGGTAACACTCTGTGCCTTTGCTGAAAATTAAAGCTAATGTTTTTAGGGACATGTCAGCAGGTAAGAAGTGAAGAGAAGAGAGATTTCTCTACCTTTTGCTCTCTCAGAAGCTGTGCAGCTGAACTCTGGCTCTATGGCCTCTCCTCTACCCTCGAGTGCAGAGCACACTAKGCTCCCATTGCCTGGGAATTCTAGTTTTTGTGCCTATGCCCTGTCTGCTTACAGAAGAGGTAATTCTTGCCTTACTGTGGAAGAGGGAAGTCAGCTGCCCTTTCTTAGGCAGAATTCCCATTGACTTCCCTGGATGCTGGATTGGAATAAGGACAGCAGAGCTCACACTAGAGAAACGTTCAAACACTCCACATTTGGTGTCACTTGTAGTCTTGCTTGTAATGCAATTAAGCTGCCTGCCTGTAAAGTGTTCCCTTCCTGCAGTAAAAYGACTGTCCTTCAATATCTGCTTCAGATAACCAAGTTCCCTTCACGCAGCGAATTCAGTCCTGGCAAAGGTAAGTACTGAATAACCCAATTGTTTTGCCATTTGCACTCCACAAATCTGATTTGGACTCTCCACTTATTCTTCACTGAGGTAATGCAATTGACTTCCTTGGAAGTAATTGCCGATTACAGTAATTTAAAGGCTTGTCTACATGAAGCATTTTGTACCGACTGAATTAGGGTGTGAAAGTAAATCACATTAGCTCTTCCCCAAGTCTCTGTGTGGACACTCCTATTCTGGGTGCCTTCATGGAGTTTGGATTTAATCCACTTCCAAAATTAATTAACATATTAATTTATTCTGTGCTAACTTTCTCACAGTTATCAAGCTAACTCAGTATTGTTCCCATTAGCTGTAAGCTCCCAAGTCACCTGTCTCTTCTCTTTCTCTTTCATTTATTCCTCTTATCCTGCAGTGTGGTTATATACTCTGCTTCTGAAATATTCTCAATCCTGGAATTGGCCATTTCGGAGCTAAATATTTCATGTTGAGTCCTCTCTCTGTGTCTCAGTGTGATGAGGAGGATACATAGTTACATGTGAAACTCTCAGGTCCCTGCAGTGAAGTTTAGGTGAGCATTTATCTCCCATACTATCAAATGCTATTTTGCGTGCTTTTGTGAAAAGGGTAATGCAACACAGAATGCTGTACATGGGTTCTTCCAGCTATGAATTAGTCTCTTTTATCTGTCTCTGACCACAACAGATGTTGGCAGCCTTTCTATTCCATATCCTTAAGTCAGACTAAGAATATCAGTTCCGCTCAGAGAAGCTGTAGGGGAGAAGTTTAACCCTTTCGGGAATCCTTTCCCTAATTTCTTATCTTTTCTTTAAAGCTCCTGACTTCTGTATTTTAAAGGAAAAAAGTCAGCAAATGTCCAAAGTGACAAATACATCTTTGGGCATCCTAGGAGCTTAAATTTCATAGATTTCTCTTTGGTCTTTTTGAATTTCCTCTCTCTTGCTGGGGACATATAGACAGAGATTACAAAAATCACTGTGAATATTTCTAATATCAAGTTAGCGAGAGAATTTGCATGGAATAGCAGCAGTACTGCAAATGGTTTCTGAGTATAATGTTAAGCATTTCAAAGGCACTGTATTGCACCGTGAACAGTACTGGCCACCTCTGGGGTAAACCCTCCATCCGAAATCATCAATCAGTTTGTTATTTTGCATTGATAGAAATATGAAACATTATTTTGAAGGTTTGAAGGGAAACAACATATTTTTCCCTATTGGCAAAATTACAAGAGTTTCCCATACCTAGGTTCTCTTCAGGATAATTTTGGGCTATTTACTTTCATCTCAAGCGAAAGTGAGCAAGAAAAACAAAGCCATGAATCTACAACTTAAAATAATTATGAATGTTCAGATATCTTATTGCATTGTTCTACTTAAAATGAGGTCAGCAGAGAGTCATAATAAAATAAAAGCATTACGTGTAAAAAGTAATAATTAGGGAAGTGTGTATTCCACCTCCAAATAGTCCTCACAGTCTGTTTACTGCTGCTTTCTCTTTGGGATTGTCAGCTGTCAGAAGGCTCCTGGCAGTGCCAGAAACCAGTTCAGCAATCTTCTGCCCATTCTCCTGCTCCTCTCATGCCTCAGCTAAAGCCCTGTGCAGCCTGATGTGTAACTAGTTACAAATCTTCAAGAGAGGGCTGTAAGGATCTAATTTTACTGACTGACATGGAGTGCAGAAGCACACACAGCTTGCTCATATCCTTTGTGGAGCTGGAAGCGGAGCCACCTTTTTTTTTTTTTCCACCACACAGAGACGCCATCACATATGTTCAGAGGCTGAGGAGCTAAAAAGATCTGGGAGCCACATGTGACCAACAGAATGAGCATCGGTCTAGAGTAGAGTTTCAGTGGGAGATGACTTTTGRGAAAGTTCCCACAGAAATGCCATTGTAGCATTTCTGTCCTTGCAGGGCCTGATTTCATTTATTCTGAGGCTTCTTCACACATCCCTGGTGCTGCAACAAGACCTTACAGTGGACATAAAGCACATCCACAATCACATCAAGGGCTTTTTGGGCTTGTCAGATGGGTGTGAAAGGTCCATGAGTGTTAAGGAGAGTCGGTCCCGCCGTGTTTATTCACACAGTAGCTTCTGCTGAGTCACAGAGTCTGCCTCTCAGCCAGGAAAAAGAAAGGCTGGTTTTCATTAAGGGACATCCATGCTGGCTGGTGGCAGCAGAGCACCAGCGAGCAGAGCTGCCAACGAGGATCACAGAGAACTCACCAGAACTCCAGCAAGGGGGTATTTTAGTGTGATGGTGGCACAGTAGGAAGGAAAGCATTCTCAACAGTGTAGTAAGCCAGCCCTTAAGGCTTAATCTCCCAGCCTTGCGAATGGGCTGATCCCTGCTCTCCTGGCAGAACAGAAGCCAAAGACCCTGGAAGCCTGGAAGGACCACGTGAGCAGAGGAGCCCCCAATCAGTTGGCTTGTGAAGGCACTGGCAGCACCTTCCCTGAGGGCAGCGCAGGTCACCGAAGCTGAGTGAGCCTCCCAATTAGTCACACTTTGTCAGCCCAGCTGCATCCTCACAGAAGGGAACGAAGACCTAAGACACTTCACCTTTCCTTCGAAGGAGGCTGGGAGAAAGTCAGAGAAAAGGTAGCATTTTCCCCAAATTATAGTATTTAGATATCTCAGGTAGAGTTCATTATACAGTTTTCTGTGTGATTTATAATTTTTACTGTGATTTGTAATTCAGGGAAAGCTCCAACCCAAGCAGTTCAGGGTCAGCACTCCTCCTGTTTGCGAATACTGCAAGCTGATAAGTAGGACATGCAGGAGGCCTTGGCCTCCTGAAGGGCACTGTCCTTTCACCAGATAGAGCAGTAGCCACCAGGATCGTCTTTTAGGCTCCAGAGCAGTAGCCACCAGGATCGTCTTTTAGGCTCCTGCCTCCTGTATTGATAGTGTGTCCTTGAAGACCTCTATCCACCAGCTATAATCAGATGTAAGTGATGAGTATTCCTGTCCCCTTAGACAGAGAAGGGATTTGAGGCTGGGGCTCCTGCATCCCAAATGAGTGCTCTAACCACTTTTGTTTAGAAGTGGGATACAGCAACAGCTGCAGCCGCTGCTGGTCTTCTGCAGTTTTGTGGGTTTGGTCCTTTTTTTCATGTGCTTCTCCTCTACGCACTCACAAACTGAATACATCATATTAAAAAAAAATCCTTTGTGGCCAACAAATTTCTTTTTTTCTTGGTTGCTGTGAGGAAAGAAATGAAAATTTCAGAACGGTGTAGTCAGAACCGTCCCTGCTCCTTGCCCATTTTGTTGCTGACCTGGCAGATCAGCAAGTTTTGCGTAGTGCAGCATCAGACAGTGTTGGCTTATAAGAGACTGGTCAGGAAACTTCTCACTGTGGGGAGCRATGGGTTTGCAGTTTGCAGCTAAGAGAGGTCTGCTCTCTCATGTTGAGTGTGTGTTTAAACAATAGCATGTTCTGCAATTACTGGAAGATAATGTTAACTTATTTTAGAGCATAGCAGGCCTGTTGGTGAATGGTGTCTAATAATTGATAGTCAGAGGGCTTCTTAGTCACTTGTGGTAATGTGGTCTTCCTCTTTGCAGGATTATCAGTCTTTTAAGTGGGATCCAAAACTTTCCTCAAAAGAGTGGAATACTAGGCTCAGCCAAGAAACACTTTGAAATGATATTTAACCTAAGGCTGCCAGCGTTACAGAACATGAAGGGATAATATTCTCTTTCTCTCTCCCTCAAATTCACATGCACATGATTAATTGCATTATTTATCCATAGCTAAATACTGTATAAAGCTCTATCTTTATTCATCTTCATTGCAGTTTGGCAGTGAGATATTTTTAGATGCTACATACTGTATCTGCTTAGTGTTAATTTTTCTATTTCATTCATCCATAGTTTTGCATATATGTATAATCCTAATGATTATACCAGAATTGTAGTGCATCTTCCTTTTACACTTGATAAACATCTACTAGTTCATTGAAGGGTATGAAAGAAAGATGAACCAAAGAGTGTAACTGAGAACAATACTCATGATCTCCCATAGTCTCATCAGTTTGTTTGTGGAATAGCTTTCCTAAAGGGGTTCCTAAAAACATTTCAACTTGGTTTTGCATTTGTAAGAATGTGACAAAGACCCATTATCTCCAGGTTAGTTTACACAGCTTTACACAGTGGCACATTATAGATATGATAGAGATAACTCTAAATGAACTGGATTAAATACCAGAAGCACTGTACACATGCCCTGAGATACATAAAACTGATTTAAGGAAAAAGAAAAAAGTTTAAAAAAAAAAAAAGAAAAAAAAAGCAAAGGAATGAATTGAATACTGAGAAAGGTCCTTCTTGTTTCAAAAAGGTCCTTCTTTTCTCAAGTTTCATTGGTAATGTGTGCTTCCCAGTTATCCAGTTTGGTGTAAGTGTGGAGCTAACATAGTTCCTCAAAGGTTACTTTTGCTGTTATCTTTGTACTGATTAGGACCGGGCCATTTTGCWAATTAGGGCTCTGTGTCAGTCAAACAGGCCATCACTGGTTCTCTCCACCCCAGTTGAGAATGAGCATGCACAAAGATTGCGAGGTCTTGGAATCTGAAAATTCCCCTCTCTCATTTTGTTGCCATCTGATGCTTCAGCTACAGATGGCAACCGACTGCGGTGCGGAACAGCCTGTTCCCTTCTGCCGCAGGAAGCCCGTGTAGGATTAATGAGCGCGCGGCCGCGCCGCAGCCCGGCTAGCGGTGGCGTGGTGCCGAGCCCGCYGAAATTGGGAACCACTGCCTGCAGTTCCTGCTGCCCTCTGCGCGCCTGCAACACCGCTGCAACCGGGCAGCTTTTTATCCAAGGGCTGCAGTTCTCCGAGGTTGCTCATTTTAATACTAGCTTGAAAATCCTCTGCCTTGAATGCAGGAAAAAATATCCCTCTGTTGACCATTTCAGTGTTCAAATATGACTCTCTGCAGAGCATATGCTCGTAAAAATGGCATAGATCATCAGAGCAACTYGGTGGTTCACCTCAAAGAAGCAACCGGTGCAGATTTGAACACCATGTACAAATGTGTCCGGCCTGGGGAGGCTCTGAGAGGGAAGAAGGCTCTGAACTGTTCAGCTGAGCTGTAGCAAGCAGAGCTGTTTTTACCTGGMAAGGTGTCCTCTCTCAGGCTATATAGAGCGTGGAATATACAGTCTCGCTCTGGACAGGAAAACTCTTATCTATTYAAACAGATCCTCAAGTTAATTCAGTCCTACCTTCCTGGCTACATCCTGAACAGCTCTTGGAGAAGCTCTCTGGACCAGAAATCTTGAACTGCTTTTTATTCTTTCCACTTTCAGTGACTTGGAAAGATAGAGGAGGACCAGTTTAGGAAGACTGATCCTCAGAGGTGATAGTGCCTTAATGTGTAGATCATCCCAGAAAAGGTGTCCAAAGTTAGRCTTGCCCCTACATGAGGAGAGTGTATTTGCAAGTTAGTATTCTGTGAGCAGGCAAAGGTAAATTTGTAGGCTAAATTATTTCTCTATTTTAATGCAGCAAAGACTCCAATGCTTGTCATGGTAAATTC